GCTGAGCGCGCCGGTTAAAAAAAGCACCGGGGAGCCGGGAGAAGCGGGGGGCCGTATTAAATCCGACCGCGGGCCGCATTTGGCCCGCGGGCCGGACTTTGGACATGCCTGCTCTAAGCAGTCAGTAGCCTGGCTCTAATCCAGGGCAGGGGCTGCAACAGTCAAGCAGTCTAAGCAAACAATCAGTAGCCCTGCCCTAACTCTAGGCAGGGGCTGCAGCAATCAACAGGTAATAAGCACACCCTCAGTAGCTCAGCCCTAACACAAGGAAGGGGCTGCAATAAGCAAGCAGTTTATAACCAGGCAGTGAGTAGCCCAGCCTTAACACAGGCAGGGTCTGCAACAGTTAGTAGCCAGTAGCCCAGCCCTGGGGCAGGGGAAGGGCTTCTCCCAGGACAAACCAACCAGGTCACAGTCAGTACACCCAGGTACGTAATCGGTCTCCTTACTCAGGGAAGGTTCAGGCCCTTTGCCTGTGGCTGCACGCTGCCGGAGGGGAGACTGCCACCCAATCAAGCAGTAGCGGGGGGGTGCATGCCCTCCCTTCACCATCGCACCCCGGCCCAGGGCCCTAGTAGCAGCTACGGGTCAAAAATCACTGACCTATCGCACCGGTGTCAGTGGGGGATCCACTCCTCAACCCACTGGCCCCTGGACAGACCAAGATCAGCTACCCCTGGGCTGGCTCCAGTTCTCTCCGTCCTGGGTACCTGATTCCCTGGAAGGTCTTCCAGGCGGTCAGGGGTGGGGTACCCTGGCCACAACAGCAGGCCTGCGTGGTAGTCCTCCCGGAGAGGGCTGGGAGGACCAGGCCAGTTGTCCAACTCTGCTGGCTCTGATTCCTCCACTGGCAAGGCCAGGGAGGTTTTTTGCTCCTCACTGGTCAGGGAGGCAGAGGCCCCTGGCTCCCTTGCTGGCTGTGGAGAGAGTGCCTCTGGCTCTGTCTCTGGCAGGGCCCAGACTGGTCTTGGAGGAAGTCCTTTTATATCCCTGGGCCCGCCCCCTGACTTCCTCCCAGGTGAGTCCTCCAGGTGAGCCCAACCTGGCTCAGGGAGGGGCACTTCCTCCTCAGGGTCAGTGGGTGGCCACTCCCACCCACTACATGGTCAAGTCAAATTCTGGATTTTTTTTTTCATTTACGTCTCCTGTATTTTGACAATGCTGCCTTCCTTTTACACATACAACTAAATTAGTGCTCATTTGACATACACAGGCCAGACCCTACCACATCCTTTTCACACTCTTATGAAAAGCCCCTTACATTCTTTAATAAGCTCAAGTGGTCAAAGGATGTTAAAATGCGGATAATTGACTAGTCAACTAGTCAATGGAATTTCCATCGACTAGTTGACTAGTCCATAGGCACCTCTGCATTCCTCCTTGGAAATGTACAAGAGCCCCTCCATTGGGGCTCTTGTACATTTCCAAGGAGGAATGCAGAACTCTGAGTACAGCCTGGGGCCAGCAGGAAGTCCCACTGACTCTGAGTTGCACACAGGTGCCTTCTTTGAAATGCACCAGAGGGGGCTCTTGTGCATTTCAAAGCCATAGAGCCCAGGATCAGTGAGGGACTCCGTGGATCAGCTGCAATTCAAAGGGGCAGCTGCAGGGAGTCCAGGGTCAGCTGGGGACTCCCCAGATGACTCCGGGCTCCCCAAGAAATGCCATGGGGAGCCCAGGATCAGCAGGGGAAGCTTCAGCTGACCCAGGGCTCCTAGTGGCAATGGAGCGTAGCAAGGAGTCTGGGGTCAGCGGGGGACTCTGAGTCCCCTGCTGATCCTGGGCTCCATGGCTTTGAAATGAACAAAAGTCCTCTCTGGGGACTCTTGTGCATTTAAAATGTGAAAGTAGAAGGAATTATACTGTAAGAGAAAGATGAATTGTGCTGTAATAATTGAATAAGTTGAAGGAATTCTGTTTGTCTTTTAAGAGGAAGAAGAAAAGTATGTTAATGTTGATTGTAGGTATGCAGATCAACGTGCTAGCCAGATGGGCCTGAGTTAACAGGAAAAGGAACATTAGGTGTTAGGCAGAAAGCAGTTCAAGATAATCAGGGAGTTATGGACAGGAGATTGCTGTGTGCTTGATATTGAAATGAAGATACTTAACCACACTAATAATGTGAAGTTTTGCCCCTCTTTTTGATCCTGTTAACTTGGCTTTTTTTTGACTGTATAAATCAAGGGGTTTGAACCTTGTGTGGTGCTCACATTTTCTGGATGCATTTTAGCAGAGCTTTGCTGAATAAACAGAACGGTCTGACAAATCTGTGAGTCCTGTCTGATTTTGACAAAAAGAAGGCACTATGTGCAGCCCAGAGTCTGGGACTTCCCGCTGGTCCCAGGCTGTATGCGGAGTTCTGTATTCCTCCTTTGAAATGTACAAAGGGCTCTTGTACATTTCAAAGGAGGAATGAGGAAGTGCCTATAGAGTAGTCGACTAGTCAAAAAACTATCTGATAAGCAAACACTTATAGGATAGTCGACTAGTTTTTAACATCCTTAGTCAGAGATTTGGATTTTGTCTCAGCTGAAAGATGTCACCTTCAGTAGCAAAGTGCCCCTACAGAGGCATTGCTTCTGTACTGCCTTGAAGGACAGAGTCCTACTGAATGAATTGTTCCTTTCAGCACTTTATATTGCAATGTGAACGAACAAAAATGTAAGCGAGAATATAATAAAACATAATTTTATTTAAAAATTTAACTTTTCTTCACAAAATTCACAATAATCTTAATATTTGAAATGGGCCTGAATTGAGGCTCTGGATCTACTCCCAGTGCACCCAGAACTTTGTGGAAGTTTGGATTAAGGTTGCTGCCTAAGTGTGACTCAAATCAAAGCCCTAAATTGCATCTGCATCCTCACTTGGATTCTGAACATTTGAATCCTGAACAATGAGTAGTCCTGTGACACCTCAAGATCATCTCATCTGAAGAAGTGGGTTTTACCCATGAAAGCTCATGATACACTCCTAAATATATAGTATATATCTAATATACTTCATTTTGGTTAGTCTCTAAGGCTGTGTCCAGACTCAGGGGTTTTTTCGGGAAAAGTAGCCTTTTTCCAAAAAAACTTCACCTGCGTCTAGACTGCAGCCGCGTTCTTTCGAAATTAAATCGAAAGAACGCGGCTTTTCTTTCGACGGCGGTAAACCTCATTTCACGAGGAAGAACGCCTTCTTTCGAAAGTGCTTCTTTCTCTTCGAAAGAGAGCATCCAGACTCACTGGGTGCTTTCTTTCGAAAAAGCGGCTTGCTCTTTCGAAAGTTCCGCGGGCAGTCTAGACGCTCTCTTTCGAAAGAGGCTTGCAGTCTAGACATAGCCTAAGGGTTTGCCCACACAGCAGGGCTAAAGTTGAATTAAGGTATGCAACTTCAGCTACGTCAATTGCGTAGTTTAAATCAAAATAGCTTAATTCAGCTTTTGGTGCTGTCTACGCAGCAGGAAGTTGAAGGAAGAACACTCTTCCTTCGACTTCCATTACTCCTTGTGAAATGTGGGTTATCATGAGTCAGAGTAAAAAGTCCCCCAGCTCAACATTATTTTGAAACAATGGATTGTAGTGTAGAATATCAGTTATTCCAAAATAATGCTGCTGTG